TCTGCCCAGTGTGCAGGCTCATGGACAAAATAAATGACCATTGTTATTTTAAGGCAATGTTTTGCAGTAGCTTCTAATACAACAATAGAAAACCAGAATGGGCGAGGATGAAAGACTTCTTTGGAAAGACTGGTACAGGAAACATGCTAAAGCAATATAAAGAAGGTGACTTTAAAACTTGCATCAGATGCAAATGAGATTTTGCCTTTAGCAAGGGCACAATTCAGCTGCCCTGATGTCCTTCTCATGGAGGATTTGTTTGATGTGGAGAATCTCAGACACAGGCATTTTTTCTTAACTTTCATTGCCTGCAGAAATTTACATAAATAAGATGGATTTCTGTGAGTCACTTCCAAGTGTCTGGGATGGAGAACTTCATTTCCCTATGGTGCTGAGGCCAGCTGAGGCACAGCAGCAAAGTCCTGCTGAGTGGAGTGCTTGCTCTCTCCCGGACGTGGAGGCAGAGCTTCTGAAGTGCTTCTAGAGGATCAGGGGTCTGAGTTGTTTGGGTTCTTCTGCCTCTGGGTCCTGAGTGGTCAGGGCCTCTCTGCTGTGAGCTCTGTCACATGTACATAATTTCACGGGCTCCCCCCAACTTTCCCTAGGAGGCACAGTCTACGTCCCCAGAGACTGAGATCAGTACGTAGCACTCACAGTGGAGAAGAAGAGGGTCTGGAAAAACACATCACAGTCTTATAAATATAACACCTCCAGGCACAAAGAAAGGGACACTCAGAACCCTATATCTCTCTGGAAAGAGGAGTCAATAGTGAAATATGAAATGCTGTGAATTTAGAGGGAGGTGTCATCTTCTATTAACTCACTTGTTCATACAGCAGTGAGTTGGCATGCACCACGTGCCCAAGCAGGGGCTCTGACCAGGGATACAAAGACACAGTGTGTCTCTTTTCTCAAAATTCACATTTGGACTGGGTCACAAAGTTGTAAAAATAATAATCACAAATATTACACAAGAGTTATCTTAGGCCAGACACTGTTCTGAGTGCTTTGCATGAATTAACTCATTTAATTCTCATAACAGCCTTACCAAGTAGGTACTATTGGGTTTTTGGAAAAGTCATGACACATTTTTGCATAGAAAACATAGAAAAAATAAACCATGACTTTTTCGACAACCGAATGTCATCATTTCCATTTTATTTATTTATTTGTTTATTTATTTATTTTTAAAGATTTATTTATTTATGCATACAAGACCTGGGGTATAGGCCAGAGGTGTGGGGGGTGAGAGGACTCACCAGAGATACAGTGGGGAACAGAACAGGCAGATTGACTGAAATACACTGCTGAGGGGAGCAGTGGGCGAGCCAGGAGAGGTCTGCTGTGCCATGAGGGTAGCTCCCTGGCCGGCCAGCGATTGAACTCCTGCTGTAGAGGCTGCAGATTGCTTCATAGTGTGGTGGTTAACCCCTTGCGCCACCAGGGAGGCCCCATCACTCCCATTTTATAGGTAAGCAAAGTTAGGCACAGAGAGGTTCAACATGGTGCCCAGGCCACACAGCCAGCAAGAGGTAAAGTTTGAGCTCTCACCCAGACAGCCTGATGCTGGACGTGTTACCACTATTCTCTACTTTCTCTTGTAAACAAATACAGGCAGCAGAACAGAGTACTGCCAGCATACACTCGATGATGGCCTACTAGTTGTCACCAAACCAATTGAAGAAATGAGAGATGTTAAATAGAAAAGTGATCCGCAAGTTTCTCTGATGACACTTTTCCTCCTGTCTCACCACTCCACTGGGACGTTCTCCTGATTCCTCTTTCAGTTCTCACTACAAAGTCAATCCCTTCTGTTTTCCAGAGGGACAGAGAAGTTGGAAGAAACAGCTTTCCACACTATCCTGTGTGGACAGGAGAAGAAATCATTGGGTTTCTTTGCTAGAAGGAGAGGCAGGTATCTCCCCTCGCCCACTAGTGCTGGGTGGGTGGGTGGCTGGTTTCTTTGGGTTAGGATGCATTGATGAAGCCATCACCGGCTCCACCCTGCCTGTAGCAGCTGCTGGGAAGGTGGGTCAGGGACTCCTTTCAGGTCACTGGAGTTTGCGGATCAGGCTTCTGACTTCTAGGCCTTGTACAGTTGTTGAAACATAGCTTTTGGCTTAAGGACAGTACGTTGGAAAGAGGAAGCAATGACTTGAAGCTGTGCTACTTTCTGAATGAGCGTGCTAACAGTGCCACGGGGACCATGCTCTCCGCCTTGAGTGAGAGCCTGCCATGTGCAAGGACCAGACAGTGACGAGGATGGAGAAAAGAATCAGACCGAGAGCAGCCCTCCAGTTCTCAAGGCCAAAGCTTTCACATTCTTATGATGTGACCTATAGTGAGAAATCCACTGAAATCGTGTTGTTACATTTACCTTGCTAGATGCAAAGGTTCACCTTGTTAGTCTGTTCTGTTCTTTTTCATGAAAACAATGCTGATTACAGTTCCTGAATTGATATACTGATGTACAGTGGATTAGCTTGTAGACTTAGAAAAGAGGCGGATGGAGGAGAACGATCCCTTACATGTATAATCACAAAACAGTGTGGGTCACTGAAGTGTGTACAAAGGTACAGAGATGTAAAAATAGGTGAGGCTGGGAAAGCCTCTCCTGTGTTCCAGCTACTACCCATGGTGGGGCGCCACAGCACAGAGGTGGGGGACATCCCTGGTTTTATTTCCAGGCACGTCCCTCCCTGGCTTCTCAATCTACCCTCATCCCCTGCACAGTCTAGTGACACTGCCTCTCATGACACTGAATCAGCATCATCTGTGACACCAACTGTCAGCCCAGAGACAGGGCAGAGAAAGACTAGCAGCTCAGAGCTCCTAGCTCAAGAACTTTTCCATTGGTGTGGTGGCTCCCCAAGCACAGGGCCCCAACGTACACCCTTATTTCCTCAGGTGCCATCTTTTTGTTTCTTTTGGGCTCAGCACCAGTGGATCTGGAGTAAGATGGGGGAAGGAGTGGACCCCAGAGGCAAAAATCAGAACAGCAAGAGACAAGAAAGCAATGACTGTTGGCTGCTGATATAGATGAAGATGGCCATGTGCAGAGGTAACTTGACGGCAATGCATAAGTTTCTGCTCCTGGAAGCATGCTGCCAAGGAGGCATGAGGCAAAGGCCCAGAACAGCAGATAGGGTACCAGCAGATGACCCCTGGGAGACCCCCTATATTGCTCTCTCTCACATTGGCTGTTGTGATGAGCAACCCAGAAGTAATGAGTAATTATGAAGAAAAGAATCAATGACATGAATATTAAACTTCTAAGACAATGTCCAGTGCTATCCTGGAGCCAAGAAATGTCCTGGCAAAGAGCATGGGTTTTGGGATAAGACTGACCTGGGGGACAAATCCTAGTCTCATTTCCTTGGTGTACTTTGGAAGACACCTGAGAACTGAGGAGAGTTCACCCCAACCCTAGTCTTCTGGAAGCTCCTCTCTACTGCTTAACCATTTTGGTTAAGGGTCATTTCCTCCAGGGATAATGACAGAATCTAACTCCTAGGGACTGTGAGGTTTAAATAAGAGATGAAAACAGCATTGTGGATCCAGTGGCACTATGGTACTCTCTGACCACAGTGCTGGCTGTGTACCTGGGGTAGTGAGAGTGATGCCAAACAGGACCAGGAGGCTAGCAATGGCCATGGCCATGTTAGACTCCAACTCATCTTATCCCCTTCTTAAAGCAGAGTAGAAGACACCTTCCAGTGCTTTTACCCCTACCTCACAGAGTTGACCTCAATGGGTAGAGTCAGACGATGAGGTCCATTTAGGAGACCAAAAAACAGAACAACTGTCTCTTGGGATGCAGGGGTGGGAGGGTTCTACAGCTAGCCCATTGGAGTTTCTCCCCAGCCCGTGCAGACAGATTAGATGCACTGGCAACTGAGAGCAAAGGCCTAGCCATTGGGGGCTGGGGAAGAGATCCTGACAGCTGCTGGGAGAGCCCAAATTCCTTTCTCTTAAATCCATTACTTGGAAACCTGTCTTTGAGAGCAATCTCAAAGGGCAGGAGTATTTCATCATGAGCCCTGACTCTGTGGGCTTGAATGGAGAGACATCTAGGCAGTCCAGGTTTGGCCCAGGATGGTTCCAAATATCTTCTTAGGCAGAGCAGTAATGGGGAGCAGCAGGAAGGAGGCCTGCATGTTCACTCTGGTTGCTTTACTGCCTGGCTTAGAGTCTGACTGTCTGGCTTCTGTCCTCCGGCTTTTGGAGTGGACCAGTTTTGCTGGCATATGCATTTATGGAACGCTGTAAGGCCAGATCTATATAGATTAATTCATGATTTCAAAGGCTCTTTGAAGCTGACAAAACATTCTGTTATTTCTAAGAGATACTGCAATTGAAATCCTGGCATAGACTGGGAGGTCAGACTAATCTTGTTTAGATCCTTTTAAATTTAGAAACTTTACAGTGGGTTAAAAATAGATCACATTTGTGTATTTTTCCTCTTTCACCCCTCACTGCAAAGGCTGTTCAGCATTTTTAACCTTCCTTTGAAATTTGCCAGAGAAACTAGCATCTGATACCTGGGAATCTGCTTGGTCCAAACTTAAGTCATTTCAAATGGGTTTTGGGCGTATGCATGCTAGTCTTACGATGCAGCAGAGTTATTCATCATCCTACATAGTAAGTTCTGGAATTAACAGCAAATGACTATTACTAATAGTGAGTAGTGTACGCAGGATTCTTGTTCAGTGAATAAGTGGGTCATGAGAAGTTTCAAATGCGCTATCCTGGAGGGCTTGTGTCTTTACATATTGACCAGAAAAGATCACTGGTGGGCTTCAGCGAAAAGAAGCTATATGAGACTGGAAGGCCAGTCTGTTTATAACCCAAAGCTAAATAAAGAATGCACTTAATTTTAGAAGAGCCTAAAGACCAGGCTTTTTCTTACATGGTCCTCGCCAGGGTTAAGGGGGGGCCAGCATTATCATGCCCGGTAAAACAGTATCACCCTCAGGGTTACCTCATCATGGTTGCCCTACCTTCATGAACATGCTGAATCCAGTTTTAAGAAGATCAGTCAGGCCTGAAGACATATGCTCGATATCAACTGGATCTGGCCTCTCAGGATTAAATATTTCCTCCACAACCTGTTTCAACAATGGTTTGTAGGTCGCCTGCAAAGACAAAACACGTGCTGTAAGTGAAAGGGTCTGTCTGGTCTGTCTGGAACAAGGACAGCTTTTTCTGCCCTAAACAAAGCAAAACAAGTTCATTTTTTTAAAAAAAGATTTATTTATTTATGTACACAAGAGCTGGAGTACAGGCCAAAGATGTGAGGGTGAGAGGATTCACCAGAGACAGAGTGGGAACAGAACATGCAGACTGACTGAAACACACTGCTTTTTTTGACTCTTATTTTCCCTTGTCTTTACCTAAAAGGTCTTAGAAAAAAACCAAGGTAAGAGCCATCAAGATCATAACCAGTCGTTAATCTAGAATGTAACTGGGGCATTTATTAGGGATAAGATGCCAGGAGAAATAGCACTTGTTCAGGTGAGGAATGCAGCCCTTTGATGTTAATTAGTCAAAACACCATTGCCTGCTCCGAGATCTCACAGGACAGGTAAGGCAGCAATACCCATAAGACAGGATAAAAGCAAAAACAAAACTATAACCTGTGACTCAACTTTCCTTATAATAAAGCTATGCCAGGATAGATCTTTTTAAATGCAGAAGATTGAAAATACTGTATTTGGGCCTCCCCTCGTGGTGCAGGTGGTTGAGCGCTGCACTGTGAAGCTATCCGCAGCCTCTGCAGCGCCAGTTTGATCCCGGCCAGCCGGCAAGGGTCCCACATGGCGCAGCAGATCTCTCCTGTCTTGCCCGCTGCTCCCCTCAGTAGTGTATTTCGTCAATCTGCCTGTTCGGTTCCCCGCTCTGTCTCTGGTGAATCCTCTTTCCCTCCCATGCATCTGGCCTGTACCCCGGTTCTTGTATAAATAAATAAATAAATCTTAAAAAAAAAAATACTGTATTGATGAGGCCAGAGGGAAACAGGTACTATCATATATTGTTGTTGGTGGTGGGGGGGCATAAATTGTTACAATCAATGTGGAGAGTAAGTTGGCAATACCTATCAAAATTACAAATGCACTTGACCTACCAATTCCACTTCTAGGAATCTATCCTGTAAATATATGCAAATGAGACCCATATAAATCTGCTTACTGTTTTTAACAGCAAAAGATTGGAAACAACTCAAGAGCCTATTAATTGGCAGTTGTTTACTATGTGGGATACAAGCTCACAAATGAAGAGAGAAGTTCTGTGTTTATAGGGCAGAAAGCGAGGGAGGAATAATAGGTGAGTGACAAAAGTCAAGTGAGGAACAGGGGGTGTGATGGGCTGGCATTTGTGGAAAATGTGTCAAAGGGAACATGAAAGCTTGCATATGCTGAAATATGCAAAACAGAACAAACAAACAAACAAACAAACACTACTATAAGCATGAGGAGTGAGGACCAGACAAGGGACAAAAGTAGGAGGAAGTCTTTATTGCTTTTTAAAAAGCACAGGTCCAGGGTCTCCCCTGGTGGCGCAGCGGTTGAGCGCTGGGTTGTGAAGCTGCCTGCAGCCTCTGCAGCGCTGGTTCGATCCCCAGCCACCGGCGAGGGTCCCACATGGCGCGACAGACCTCTCCTGTCACGCCCTCTGCTCCCCTCAGCAGTGTATTTCTTCGTCAGTCTGCCTGTTCTGTTCCCCCGCTCTGGCTCTGGTGAATTCTCTCACCCTCCCATGCTTCTGGCTATACCCAAGTGCTTGTATAAATAAATAAATAAACCTTAAAAAAAAAAAAAAGCACAGTTCTTTATAGCAAAAGAGACAGTAACCAAAACAAACAGATACCCCACTGATTGGGAAAAAATCTTTGCACTCCATACAACTGATAAGGGACTGATCACAAAGATATACAAAGAACTCACAGGAGTCAACAACAAAAAAAGTAAACAATCCAGTCAAGAAATGGGCAGAAGAACTTAAAAGACATTTCTCCAAAGAGGAAATGCAAATGGCCAACAGGCATATGAAAAAATGTTCAACATCCCTTATAATCAGGGAAATGCAAATCAAAACCACACTGAGATACCACCTTACACCAGTAAGAATGGCACATATCAAAAAAACAAGCAACAACAAATGTTGGCGAGGATGTGGTGAAAAAGGAACTCTCCTACATTGCTAGTGGGGGTGCAAACTGGTCCAGTCACTATGGAAAGCTGTCTGGAGGTTCCTCAGTCTACTAAAAATGGAGCTACCATATAACTTGGCAATTCCACTACTAGGGATCTACCCAAAGGACACAAAAACATTGATTCAAAAGAACACCTGTACACCTATGTTTATTGCATAGAGTAAAATAGGTAAAACCTGGAAACCACCCAAATGCTCAAAAATAGATGACTGGATCAAGAAGATGTGGCATATATACACAATGGAATATTATTCAGCAATCAAAAAAGATAAACTCATGCCATTCGCAGCAACGTGGGTGGAGCTAGAAGGAATTATGCTCAGTGAAATAAGCCAGAAGGAAAAAGAAAAATATCGGATGGTTTCACTTACAGCAGGAATATAGGGGAACCAAAAAAGACATCAGTGTAAAAAAATAATAACAGTACAAAACACAACAAAGCAAAAACAGACAATTATAAATCAGAGACATCCTGCAGGGAAGGAGGAGGGAGAGGGATGAGAGGGAGGGAGGGAGGAGCCCAGGGGACTGAGGTGATGGTGCACAGGTGCATTGGTGAAGGAAACTCTATGGGGACTACACCTGAGGGGTGGGGGGAAGCAAATATTGGTTAAAAATGAACACTGATGTAAAATATAAAAAGAAAATTAAAAAATATACTGGAAAAAAAAGCACAGTTAAGGCACCTCTACAAACAGTAAGAATGATGGTTTTTTCTCATAAAAATCAATACATTTTTTATGCACAGAAAAGACTGGAGTAAAGCACACTAAAATGTTAATTAGGGCTATCTCTAGGTACTGGGGAGATAGGACATTATTTTCTTTTTGCCAAATCTTGAGTCATAACAGAATCTAATAAATATTTTCAATGATAAAAAGAAAGGTCATGAAATGGTCTCTGAATTCCATAAATCCTCTCCCCTGAGTAAGTTGTGTTGAGAGCCCTTCTATCATTTCAGCCTTTTTGGACATTAACTCTTAAATTTAAACTTTATTCTCTTTAAAAACTGTTCCCCAAGGAAAAGCCCTTTGGATAATACTCTGCTACCTTATCAGCATTATCATTAAATATTCATTGACTCATTGACTTCATACTTAGTCACAGAATCCAAGCTTTTGCTGGACACATGATCAACTGGCTGAGACACTCCATTCTCCTGCTTTCCACTTGGGTATGGCCATGTAGTAAATTCTGGACAATGGAATGTGAATAGGTGAGTGGGACTGTCAGAATCATCTTTTTTTCAAAATTAACAGGCAACTATAAATCAGACATTCTGCAGGGGAGGGAAAGGGATCAAAACAGGGGAGGGAAGAGCCCAAGGGACTAGGGTGATGGTGCATGGGTGAACTGGTGGTGGGAATTATACAGGGACTACACCTGAGAGGAGAAAGCATACATTGTACAAAAAGGAAAAATGTTGTAAAATATATATAAAATAAAAAAAAAGAAAAAGAAAAAGAAAATCCCAAACAGTATTGGCAGACAGTAAAAAGTGAAAAATAACATAAAAAAAAGAAGTACCCTTTTTTCAAAGAGAAGGGTACATTTTCTTCTCCTTTCTCTATTCTGTGAGGCATGGAGGTAAGGCCTGGAGCTCCAGCAGCCATAGTGGAGGGTAGGGCCTTTCCTTTGCGGTTGGAGCAGAAAAGTGGGAGGACCTTGGTCAGGGAAGACTGTCGAAGAAGACGTAAATAACTATGATGGACAGACTAAAGCAGGACCCATTTTACAAACATAACCTTGTATGTTTAAGTAATTCTTTTTCAGATCCCTGTTTCTTGCAGCTGACTGAAATTCTGATACGAAGCACAGGGAATATGAAGAAAAAGAAGACTATTGCTTTCCTTTTAGAAACTTTCCTTTTAATTATTTGTTAGTCTATATTAAAAAAACACAACAGTTCTATTGAATAACTGTAGTAGAATCAGAAATACAGACTGGCACATTCAGGAAAGGAGAAAATACGCCCCCCCACCAATCCTACAAAAACCTAAAATCCTCCCGTTCTCCATAGGATGCATCTTCTGTTAGAAGCAAGAGTAGTGATCCTGAAAAGAACTCAGATACAGAAAAAGGTGGTTCTGTTAAAATGCTATACTTAGCACCTCCTGGCCTGGTAGACTGGAGGCCCCAGTGTAGACAGGAGAAAGAAGGAAGGATGGCAGGATTATGAATTGCCTCTCCCTTTGTTGCACTTTCCGCTAGACTTTGGGGAATGGAGGTACCCAGAAAGAAAACACCCACTGAGTTGGGGTTCCCCTGGGTGTAGACAGAGATTTGGAAGTGCCATTTCTTAATCCCTTCATTCCTGGGACTATGTGATTACTGTATGCTATTGGGAAAGGCTGTAAATCTGTTTTATTTAATTATTATTTTTTTAAGATTCATTTATTTATACATACAAGAGCTTGGGTCTAGGTCAGAGGTGCGGATTAGTGAGAGGATTCATCAGAGACAGAGTGGCGAGCAGAACAGGCAGATCGACTGAAATACACTGCAGAGGGGAACAGTGGGTGAGACAGGAGAGGTCTGCTGCGCCGTGTGAGTCATCTCCCTGGCTAGGGATGGAACTTGTGCTGCAGTGGCTGCAGATAGCTTCACGGTGCTGAGACTTAACCTCTTGCACCACCAGTCCCCTGTTTTATTTTTTGAGGTATGTAGGTAACATCTATTTAGAATGAGAAAAGAAATCACAATTTAAATACAGAAAAATAACCAACATTTTTCCACAATCCAGAAAAAGAACATAAACATCTTTATTAACTTCCTGACCTAATTCTTTAATACTAATTTCTTAAATTTCTCTGCAATACCTGCTAGAAGGGATGACTTTCTCCCTCATTATCATTTCATATAACAGCAATTTTGAATTATTCCCTATAGAGAGATGGGATAGTTATTAAGCTATTGTCTCAA